CCAGAAACCCAAACTTTTTTTACCATAGACATAGCTCACTATGGGCTACCAGATGCGCGAAACCCCGGCTGAAAAGCGTTCTTTCACCTAGGAATGTTCCCTTCTAAATCATCTTTATCTTTTATGAGAAATAGTAAATAATCAATTATCTATCTATTTTTATATGACAACATCTTTTACAAAATAATAACAAAATCTAAAAGGAGGACAAGACACATAACTCTTAATCAACATGGTTGATTTTATTCTTTATATTTATTCACTTTTTTAAATAAAAAATGATTATTAATAATCAACAAAATAATTCTTCAATAAAAAACGATAAATTAATTGTTAATTATCTATCCCAATCAATAAAAGAAAATGACTTGACAAGATGGAAAATTAGCTTGTGAAAAGTTAAATGGTTTACAAATCGGTCATAAAACAATTCGTATAGCACAAGTACGACCACAATCAAATGAAACACGTAATACCAAATTATATATAAAAGGTTTTCCAAATTTATTCAGAGAAAAAGACTTTTATGATTTATTTTCACCTTTTGGAGAAATTGTTCAATTAAGATTTTTAAAAGATAAATTAATTGCTTTTATTATAATGTCAACTAGAAGTCAAGCTCAAACTGCTAAAGATCATCTTATATACGGTTCGTTGTACCATGTTTCTATCAAAACTTATTCAAAAAATATCAGCATTCATATAACCATGACATATCGTAAGAAACAGCTCTTTTTTTTTTCTTTTGAAAATTTTATAGTTATGATATTAGNCATAGAAAAATAGAGCATCGTTTTGTCTGTAATTGCATAAAAAAAGAAAATTTCTTCAAGCTTTCTATAAGGAAATAAAGTGATGGCGTCATTACTTTTGGTATGCCCTAAGTATTTGATAAAGAAAGACATTAGTATAATGAAAAACAAGTTAGCTAAGAAGATCGATTTCTAAAGTTATTTATTTCCAAGAAAACTATTTTCTTCATAAATTTATTTATTTTTAATTTAATTATTTGAATTGATTTCAATAAAGAATATATCACAAAACAGAAAACAATGAAAAACAGCCTGATACGAGAAGCAGATCAACTGGAAAAAACGATAAAGAAAATAATAGGAGAATATTAACTATTGTCTTCCAGTACTACATCTTACAAACCGATCATATTGTACACAACGAATAATTTTCCTTGCGAAAGGAAAGTGCTAGTCCTTCTTAGTGGATAGAAGGTCACACTCTTGACCAAAGTCTTTCCTTCCTCCTTTTGTTCGTTATATTATCCACTTGATCTCAAGTGAATATTAATTATATGAATAGCTAAACTATTTCATTTCAATTGATCACTATTTGCTTCAATAAACATTAAAGATCTTGTATATGAATCAATGTTTTATTACTTGATTATCTGCTAATTCTTTCGCTGCTTTTGACTTATCTCCATCTAATCTCTCAATTGTTGCATTGAACAAATATAAAAATCGTCTATTAAACGTTTAATCGTTTAATACAGAAAGAAATTTTAACTGAATACAATTGAATTCTGTTGCATTATTGGTAAAATGATTTGTTGTGCTTACGAGTGATTCATATTTGATTCTGAGATACATCAAACAAAGTAGAAGACTATTTTTTTTGAGAAGAAATTCTTCAACATAATCAATATGTGCAAATGTAAGATTAAGCCTACGAAAATGAGGAAATATAACGAATGTAGAGGAATGTTGTTTATTGTTTCATTGTTGTTATTCATCATTTCGCACAGACAGTTGTCGAAGAAAAGGAAAAGATTTGGAAATAATTGTGAAAAATTCATGTTCAAAAGGACGTGTATCAGTCATTTTCACCTATATAACTTTTTCAAATATACCATCTTCAAAAGAATTGTTCAAATGATGAAATTTATCGAATTGATATGGAAGTGAATAGATATGACATCGAGCTTCAAGCTTCATTAGATTATCATCGGCATATGGACCAACTTGTTGATATTTTCTTTCGATAAAGCTACGTTGAATATCATTGGAGTAAGAGTAGGAGGGAAGGAAAGAGTAATATTGACATATCTATTACAAATCAAAGTATTTATACTGAAAGTAAATTTGTTTAGTCGCGACATATGAATAAGAATTTGATCGTATAATTGAGTACCATCGATATAAGTCGAATCATATCTTTTATGATAAGAAATAATGTTCTTCGAGATTTGACATTTGATGAAGTAATGGAACAACTTGATCAAGGTTGTTTGTATAATTGACGTCAATGAAAAACATTTGAGTTTGGAAAGTTGCTTCTAGAAAGAAAAGTATATGAGAATGCGATATTTATTCAAAATATAATGATCAAATATATTTTACCATGTTATCAATATCCATTAAGGAGCAATGGAATACACGACCAAGATTATCTACTATTTCCTATTTTTTGTAAATCTATACAAAAAATATGTGCCAGTTCTCAAACAATTCAAGATCGAACATATACAGATGATAAAAGAGAAAACCGTATGTTAAAACCGTATTGTTCAAACTATCGCATGTTAGCCATTTCTTTTACATACGTCTTGGAAAAGATGCAATTTTTAAAAAAAGCGCATCCTTTTTAGCTTCATTTTGACATAACTAAAAAGAGCATTAAAAACTGAGTATAATAACCTCTGTTTGGTAAATGAGCCATTGAAGCAGACAATATTAGAGAATCTAAACTTTTTGAAGATGCCGGTTTTTTCATGTATTTCACCCTAACTTTTGATTTTTTGTTTAATAAAACTGACTTTTCTAAACTTTTTGACCAAATTCTGAAACCAGGCATCAAGACGAGTATAATTGGTCGCTTTGCAGACGAACTCAGCAACTTCTCGCACCTTAAAAAGGCTGGAAAAGAACGTAAGTCATTTTAGGTGTCCCCTAGAAAATTCAATTTTTTTCAGTCAAAATGGCGTTTTCTGACATTTTTGATGTCATATTCGTGATCAGCATAACATTTTGCGCCGTATGATGTATCTTTTATCCCATTTTGAGAGAAAAAATTTTCCGACGTCCCTGAGGTCTCCTCTCAGGCTCAATTTTTTCGGAAAAACTTTTTTGCCGAATTTCAAACATCTGAAGCGACAGTTTTGTTCAGAATTTTTTGCTGATTCCGAAAATATATATTTTATTTTATTTCATTCGCGGCCGCAAAGTGGCCTTATCGCCTCCCTCTTTTGTTTAACATACGGTTTTCCCACTTACCATCTGTATATGTTCAATCTTCAATTGTTTGAGAACTGGCACATATTTTTTGTTTAGATTTACAAAAAATAGGAAATACTAGATAATCTTGGTCGTGTAATCCATTGTTCCTTAATGGATAAACACAAACCTAACAGAAAAACAAATTATGTAACTAGCTCAACTTAGCTATTTAACCCATTTCAGCTAGTTTAAGCCGGTTATACGGAACGTTTTTCCGCGAACGAACCATATGAACGAAACATATGCGACATACTTCTCTACATTACAGAACTACACCGAATTCAACTTCACAAACGAGTTTAAAATAATATTAATATATTACGATACAATAAAAGTTTTCATTCAATATAATAAAAACAAACAAACATTCTTATGCACTATTTACAGCAAGTTGAACAAAAAGCGTAATGAAAGTACACATGTATGGCCAGAAGTAAACCACCACAATTCACAAACAACCAACACCATCACACTGGTCATTTATCTGCAGATGTTCTACCCCACCATATGACATTTTACTTTCGTCAAAGCAATGCTCAACTGACGACGACGAGGTCACCAACAACTAACTCAATGATGATACAGCTGGTGAACAATGCCAAGCAGCAGACTATTCATTTATCCCCTACATGTTCCATGGCACCAGATGACATTTCACTTTCGTCACAGCAATGGTCATCCGACAACAGCGAGGTCACCAACAACTGACTAAATACTGATGCAGCTACTGAAGAATGCCAAATACTACACTCAACATCTATCTCCTAGATGTTCCCTGGGACCCGATGACATTTGACTTTCGCCACAGGAATGCTCATCTGACATCGACGAGGTCACCAACAACTGACTCAATGATGATGCAGCTAGTGAACAATGCCGAGCAGCAAACTGTTCACCTATCTCCTAGATGTTCCATCGAACCAGATGACATTTCACTTTCGTCAGAGCACTGCTCAACTGACGACGACGAGTTCACCAACGACTGACTTAATGATGATGCAGCTAGTGAAGAATGACAATAACAAAACTATTCATCTATCCGCTAGATGTTCCATGGCATCAGATAAGATTTCACTTTTGTCACAGCCAGGCTCATCTGACGACGACCAGGTCACCCGCGACTGACTCAATAACGACGCAGCTCGTGAAGAATGCCAATAACGAAACTATTCATCTATCCCCTAGATGTTCCACGGCATCAGATGACATTTTACCTCCCTTCCAACAATGCTCATCTACGGACGACGAGGTCACCAACAACTGACTAAATGATGATGCAGCTAGTGAAGAATGCCAAGCAGCAGATTATTCATCCATCTCCTAGATGTTCCCTGGCACTAGCTCACATATCACTTTCGTCCAAGCAATGCTCATCTGCGGACGACGACGTCACCAACAACTGACTCAATCACGATACAGTTAGTGAACAATGCAAAGCACCAGCAGACTATTCATCTATCCCTAGATGCTCCATCGTACCAGATGACATTTCCATTTCGTCACAGCAATATTCCTCTAACGACGATGAGTTCACCAATAACTGACTCACTGATGATGCAGCTAGTGAAGAATGCCAAGCACCAGCAGCAGCAGGCTATTCATCTGTCTGCTAGATATTCCATGGCACCAGATGAGATTTCACTTTCGTCACAACAATGGTCATCTGACGCCGAACAGGTTACCAGCGACTGACTTAATGGGGATGCAGCTAGTGAAGAATCCCAACCATAACCAGCAGCATCATAACGAAAGTATTCACATATCCGCTAGATGTTCCATGGCTTCAGATAAGATTTCACTTTTGTCACAGCAATGCTAATCTGACGACGATGAGGTGATAAACAACTGACTCAATGATGATGCAGCTGGTGAAGAATGCACATCATAACGAAAGTATTCACATATCCGCTAGATGTTCCATGGCTTCAGATAAGATTTCACTTTTGTCACAGCAATGCTAATCTGACGACGATGAGGTGATAAACAACTGACTCAATGATGATGCAGCTAGTGTACAATGCCAAGTAGCATAACGAAACTGTTCATCTATCTCCTAGATATTCCAATGCAGGTGGTGACATTTGACTTTCGGCACAGCAGTGCTCATCTTAGAACGACGACTTCACCAACAACTGACTCAATGATGATGCAGCTTATGAAGAATGCAAATAACGAAACTATTCATCTATCTGCTAGATGTTCCATTGCAGGTGATGACATTTAACTTTCGTCGCTGGAGTGCTCATCTGACGCCGAAGAGGTCACCAACAACTGACTCAATAATGATGCGGCACGTGCAGAATGTCAAGCATCACGAGCAGTAGCTGACTATTCATCTAGGTCCTAGATGTTCCATGGCACCAGATGAGATTTCACTTTCAGCACAGTAATGCTCACCTGAGGACAACGGGGTCACGAACAACTTACTCAAGGGTGGTGCAGCTAGTGAATAATGCAAATGACGAAACTATTCATCTATCTCCTGGATGTTCCATCGGACGCTATGACAGTTCTCTTTCGTCACAGCAGTGCTCATCTGACGGGGGAGATTGTCGACCGGGGAAAGGAAAGTTGACTGGGGTGTAGTCTGGTTGTTATCCTGGATTTTCAAATAAACATAGGTTTTCGTTGTGGTTGTCTTGACTTCCTTGATTATAAATGCTGTGGCTGGAGGAAGTATGACTTCTTCTTCGTCGTAATCGGAAAGATGGGATATGTCTAAGCCGCCGTTTGCGGTCGCGTCGATAATGAATAGAGTATTGCCGAAGTTTTGGGCTTTTTGAGGATTTTTGCTAGTTGAGGTAAAGCCGCTCCAGAATCTGAGCCGGTCGATATCTTCGGTGTATGATTTTAGCGTGTTCTGGTCAATGTTTACACCTCGATAGAGCACCGCTGCGTGTTTCGTGTGGGTATTTAGCCAGCTTCTGAATAGAACGTAACAAAATGGTCCCAAAGTGTTTATTTTGCTCGTGTCGGAGTCTCTCAGTGCTTTATTTATTAGTTTATATAGAAAGGATTCCATTGTGTAAAGCTGAATGCAACACTTGTAAATTTCTTCTCTTGTTTTGTTTTTCACGGCTAGTATTTGGCGAGCTAGATATTGTGAGTCACAATGTTGACCTAGTTTGTTTCCTTCGATAATTATTCCATTCGCTGCCTGCTCTACTATTTCAGCGTCAGAAAGTTCCTTGTCTTTCTTCCACTGTGAGAGAAAGGTATACGCTTCTTTACCCCAGTCATCTGTGAACGTTTTACTCATTTCTGGTGTGAGAAAGAATCTTTCTTCTCTTAAACCTTGACTTTCATTTCTACTAGTTAGAACCCGTTTTATTTGCCGCTGTTTATTTGGATCCGATTTACTGATTTGAATGGAATTGTTTAAGTTAATCGAATAATTATCCAGTTCAGCTAGTTTTGTTTTATTCTTTTGATTAAATGCTTCTTCGATAATCGCTGATTCGATATCAGAATATTTTGTCCATTCTTCATTTCCATTTGTTGACCATGGATCAGAATTTGATTTCCAATACCATTGAGCTCGTGGTTGATCAGCTCCTTTTATCGCCTGACTTACCATTTATTAGGCTGTTTGGAACTGATGGGTCCTAGAAACGTCCTCTAGAAAAGACACGGGACAAGTAGCAGGATATTCTGTAATTGAAGAAACACTTGTTCAGCTTTTTAAGACCAACTCTGATTATGTTTAAGGTGCGCACAATTCAAAGATCGAGTTAAAATTTCGAGGATGAATCATTGAGGATAAAAATCGAGGATAAATCGTCAGAAAAACAAACGGCTGGCCTGTCGTCTCCAATGCAAATACTTGTATTGAATATAAGAAGTATATTAGCCAAGGCAAACAAATAAAAAAAAATTGGAATTTTTTAACAATCGAAATTAAGTCGTTTCGTGTACTGCATCAAATATATGCCTGCGAAGCAAAAACGGCTTGATTTCGATGAAATAATATCACAGAGTTTTTTGACAAAAAGAAAACGATTAAGGCACATATTTGTTTTATCCTCAAAATTTTATCTTTAGAAATGCAGCAATCCATAGTGAATACAAATGGTATTATCGAAGTATACTTTAAGTGTTGTTTGCATACATATATGCATAGGTTTTATTTGCTTTTTGATAATTCTCCTTGTTCTTCTTCGAAAACATATTTCATAGTAACAGAACAGAAAAATGAGTTATATTCAAATATGTATTGTAATCTTCTTCTCTGTTCTTTGTCAACAAATGTTATGATATAATATTTCGCCGAAATAAACTTCATTTCGTGTACTCCATCGCGAAAAACATTAATGAAAAATAACAATATTCACTAACTACGTGGTTTTGAATTGAGAAAAAAAATTATTTTTGATTATACAGGAGGATCACACTCCAAAGTTCAGTGGTCCGACCACCTCTACTCTCATCCGATTTCCTTATTTATATTTTTAAACTTTTAGTTTTAGGTTATCACGGGGTATCCCCGGATGCCACAAGGTTTTGTTTCTTTTTTTGTGATATCTTGCTCTTTAGTAAATAAATCTTAATCTTAATCTTCAAAAGTGATCTAATATGCTCAAAAAAGGATGGTGATTATTCTGGCATATTATTTTGGGTGTTTGCGCCACTTTTTTGGACGTTAGTGGGTGTTAGTGGGTATTCGTAACGGAAAAGCCCTACAGAATCCTCTTTGAAATAAATTTTTTCGGTGTTTGTTTATTCACAAAGAACAGGTCTATCGACCGGCTATCTCGGATTTTAATTTGGGGGTGTTAGTGGATGTCAGCGTATTTTATGAGCCCACAATGCTACACAGTCGGATTTCTGAACAAGTTTTCTGTTGAGGCATATCTCTTTCGTAGATTAACTCAGTCCATATGTGTCACAAAAAGCAAGTGAAAAATAACAACTTTTGATATAAAAGAGTCACTTAAAAAGAAAGTGTGTCCGAAGGTAGCTGAAACACTGATTTCACCGTGTTTTACCCGGTTTTCTCGTCGGGAACTTACTGCAGTCAGGATCAATCATTCACCTTAGACTCACTTTGAAGTTGAGATCAAACGTGTACACAGCATTTTTATTAACCCGCCCTGTCTTTGTGTAAATCCTTTCTACTTGTCATAAGAACCATAATAGTTTTTTCGCATGTATTTCTCAATTATGGTTTGCCATATAACTGGCATTTGATCTCAGAATAAAAGTGAGAGTGGTTAAATAGGGTCATTACAAAAGAAGACACAGTACAGATTCGTCTATTAATGGAAGAATACCATACATTATTTCCTGTATTAAATTCAGTGAGACACAATGTTCAGAACGTTCATAATAATCACCACATCGATCAAAGTGCTGCATTAGCTGGACAGATATCAAACTACAGCACTTTTAATTTCGAATCGTATCTCGTGTAACTAAGGCCTTGCGGAGAAACATCCGTATCTTCAGGAGAAAACATCAAGTTCTTGTGGAGAGACATCCATGTCTTCCTGACAAAACATGAACTTCTTGTGGAGAGACATCAGTATCTTCCTGCGAAAACAAGAATTTCTTGTTGACACACATCGGTGTCTCCAGGCGCAAAACATGAACGTCTTGCGGAGAGACATCGGTTTCTTCGTCAGGAAACATAAAGGCCTTGCCGAGAAATATCGGCATTTTCAGGAGAAAAGATGAATTTCCTGTGGACAGACATCGGTGTCTTCAGGAAGAAACATGAAGTTTTTGTAGAGAGACGTCGGCATCTTCGGGAGAAAACATGATGTTCTTGTGGAGAACATGAACTTCTTCTGGACAGACATCGGTGTCTAAAACACGAAACATAAGAGCCTTGCGGAGAAACATCGGTATCTTCAGGAGAACAGATCAAGTTCTTGTGGGGACACATCGGTGTGTTCAGCAAGAAGCATTAATAATTAATATTTTGTTGTTTTTTAAAAATACAGAATATATCGTCTACATATCTAATCCATATTAATGGTTTATTTGTTGAGAATCTATTAATTTTATGCTCAAGATTTGACATGAATAAGTCAGCTAATATTGGACCTAAAGGTGATCCCATTGCTACTCCATCGGTTTGTATATATACTTTATCAAGAAATCTGAATGGAATGTTGCATACAGCGAATTCTAATAATTGTTTTAATTGTGATCGAGTAAAAGGTATAGAAGGTGGAGAAGGCCTTTTAAATAACATGTCTAGAGTAATTTCTATAGCTTCATGAACAGGAACATTTGTGTATAAATTATCGACATCAAAACTAACCATTATTTGATCAGAGCTATTTTGGATTCCTATAATCTTTTTCACAAATTCAAATGAGTCACGAATATAAGAAAATGATTGAGAGGATCTATTATTTTTAATTAGTTGGTAAAGAAACTCAGATAAATCATGTTTATATGCACCTATAGATGATATGATAGGGTGAAGCGGATAATTTACTTTATGAATTTTTGGTTGACCATATGTAGTAGCATAAGAGGCGCAAGTAGAATGGATACGATAGTACGTTCCTTCATCAATTATATTGTCTTCAAATAATTTTAATATATACTTATTTATAGATTTTTCTTTACTAATTAACGGTGACTTCTTGGTGTATTTAAATTGCTTCAATTGGAGAACCTCTTCCATCTTTTTAATATATTCTTTGTATTATTCTTGTAAAATCCAAAAACATTGTCACCCTAACGTATTTTCTACCGTATGTCGTAAATTGTATAGTTATTCAGAAGTATTTATGAAAACAGTTAAAAAGAAAAATATAAGGAATATTAGTGATGAAGAATTTAATGCAATTAAATCTTTGAAAAATAATCATAATATTGTAATTTGCCGTGCAGATAAAGGTAATTCCATTGTTATACTTGACAAGAAAGAATATATTAAAAAGATGGAAGAGATTCTCCAATTGCAGCAATTTAAATACACCAAGAAGTCACCGTTAATGGACATCATCTTTTAGTGTTATTGAACACGAACAAGAATTACGAGTAGAGACCCATTCTTCAGTTCCGTTGTTATTTGAGCTCTTTAAACGATACAAGTAACTTTTATGTAATATACCATCTTAGTTTTTTTCAGTTTTGATACGAGAAAAATGTAGAGTTATAGACATGATAGGATTCATAGAGAAAATCGAATTAAGATATTCTGTTTCAAGGTAGTGCTACTCTTCATTTTTATAGTCTCACCCGATCTAGTGATGTCGTTCTCAGCTCAATTTAGTTTTAAGCATCAGTTTTGAAAAATATTTCAATCAATTTCTGTGTCTACAGCAGTCAGTCATTCCTAATTACCCAAGCAAAAAATCATACATGGAAATATCTAGATATTTTATCGTTGTACTGGGCAATAGATATGAAATATCTAGGTATATGTGTCACTTTCATTGGGTTATCTGGATATATTGGGCATGGTATCTAGTGCATCTCGATATCTTCTCAATATATTGGGATACAAGAAAAGGCTAGTGTGAGGAGCTACGGTCCCCAATATAATGATCTGTTATAGTCCAATATATCGACTATTGACAACATAAGTGTCAATTTATTGACAGCAATGTGATAACAGTCTACATTGCACTCCGAGATATAAAGACATCCTGCTTTCTGTAATATATTGGTCTATTATTGCTCAATATATTGACTTGATATGAATAAAAACTTTGTAAATTTATGGAGTATATGTGTTACATATACAGGTGCTGTGACTGCAAAACAAAAAGGTGAATAATCCGACCGTCGATATATCGAGTAATATATTGGGTATGGTATTGGGTTACCTAGGTATATTGACTACTGCATTGGGTTAGTTAGCTTGGCTTGCCCAATACCCAATACTTTCTTTTTACCTGTATCTAGATATATTGGGTATTGGGTATTGGATTGGATTACCTAGATAGGATTGCCCAATACTCGATACTTTTTATTCGCTTGGCTTACACAGCGATTCGAATTTATAAACAGTGTACAAAGTATGTGAAAAGAACAAACTCACTATTCCAAATTGAGGCCACATTTTATTTGTATAAGAAACGAGAGAATATATGCATTCCAAGTTGAGACCGCTTTTTAAATCTAATTAATAATCATCAAAAAAAGTGGTCTCAGTCATGAAGCCTCGGAACATTTAGCAGTTTATTTTATCTGCAAGTTAATTACAAACAAGACAACGTGCATATTTACATTAAGGGTAATAGACATCCTTTCACAAGTCTAATGTTTTGAATCAACGGTATCTTCTGAAAACGCTTGAACTTTGTCTTTGCCAAAGCATTTCAACAATTTTTTACGATAAATCAACCCAATGAGTTCGATGATACTTGATACACTCAAACCCATCCAACTAAAATAGAAAATAGTCTTTAGCGAAATGCAGATGTATCATGCATCGAAAGATCTCAAACATTCGATAGTTCTCTGCATTTTATACCTCTGTATGGAAACTGATTTTAACTCTATGACATATTTACATTAAATTTGTCTTTCTGTTTCTCATGTCATTCTTTTCGTTAAACAAATATTTACAGAAAAACACTTTTGTTAACTTTATAATAATGAAGATACTTATTTCACTTTTTTTACAATCAGTCTATACTAATGAATTTTGATCAAACAAGAAGTAGTTTGACGCCCGCCTTCTCTAGTAATGGCTTCAAGCACAACATTATATGAAATTTGGGTTGAAGATCAAGAAAGAACTTTTATGCAGCTATAAAGTTGTTTGTTGAAAACATACAGATTTTTTCAGATAGAAATGTTTGTCATTGGTGTAAAAACTTACAATCCACTTTGTCCGCCAATATCAGACATAAATGCTACCCATGAATACGTTGCCATCTCCGTATACGACGTTACATACTGACTAACGGGCAGTATTTTCAATTTTAAATAATTCTTGTCGAGATACAAAGTATAATTCGCTTCAAAATCGGCTGGTAACGGCGTTGCTGACTTGTTTTCCGTATTTAGAAAGTCCATAACTAACAATAATTTCTGTAGTTCCGTTGGTGCTCTGAGTGATGATGTGTCTGTTTCAAATGTCATTATCTCACATTCTGGTTGACAATGCACACATTGTTTCGATTGCAGTTGCAAATCATTGAGAAAATTTTGACGGGCTTCTGCAGCACACATTCCTTCATCAGTATGCACGGAACATGCATTTACAGATACTAACTGATTGTTTACAACTAGTTTATCGACGAAAAAGTAGATAGGTATGGTGCATCGACATTGGTGATAGATGTACGATTGAGCACACAGCTCATAGCAAACAGTTTGAGAATATTTGAATTGAGAAGTGCCAAATGCGGTCGAATAGAGCGCTTGCATATCTTCGCCCATCTGTGTTGTGCACTGGGTGTATGGTGAACCCAGATATGTTGTTACGTGCTTGGTATAGAGTATCTGGTGATCAAGCCCCGGTTGATAATATTGCCCTACGTATCGAACGAGTGGAAATTCGTCATTATCATGGAGTATTGCTGTTAAACTATTAGCATAGTATGTGGGTGTATACCATTGTTGGTTCAAATAAAATGTTAAAACAAGCCCATTTTCAACCGTCCAGCCATTGCCAAAATCATTTGTCTTGTATAAAGATGAAATGTTTCCTACTTTTGCATTAAACGTGTAGCAATTTCCAGTTATCGTTGATATAGACCGAACGAACAGTTGACTTCTGTTCGTGTAACAATCAAGGCCGTTGTACGTGCAATCTAGTAAAATATCGTCCAGCTGAAAACCGTAATATTGAATTAAATCCGATCGATTTTGATTAAATAAATCGACGATAAAATTGACCATTAAGAGGTACGCATCAGCCATGGAAAGAGTAGATTCATTTGACCAGCTTAATAATGCTGGTCCTAAACGATCGTATCGAAAAGGATTTCCGCTGCAGAAAGTGATTGCCGGAAAATAGCTCGATTGTTCAAAGCGAATTTTGACACTTGTCTGAGTTGGATATGAATAGTACTGAAAGGAACTCATTAGAATGAAATAGATCATGGATGAAAACAATATGATGAGGAGTAGATATTTTGAAATCTCACATTTTGCCATTTTTACTTGTTTTAATTGGCGAACGAAGACGCAGCTTGTGCTCGTGTTAATATAAAAAATCGTAAAAATAATATTTGAAAGAAAATTTTTTGTAAATAATTCATTAAACAAAGTTTATTTTTCATGCATAGTTAAGTTGAACGAAACGTAGATTGAGTATTTTAATTGCTCTCAACTGATTCATCAAATACCTGTAAACTAGGTAATTAAAAATCAGACAAAAAGTTAAAAAAGACAAACTTCTTCACTTGATGCCACTAAGATAATTATTTTTTATTTAAAACAGTAAAAGCACCGTATTATATGTATCATCAAAAACATCATAAAGTCTTTTGCTTTTACGTTTCTACCCAGGTCGAGGAATCGTAAGAGCGGATCGTACGAGATCAGACATGATTATAATGTATGATCGTACATGGGCAGATATGACCTTGAATAATCGTATTACTTCTTACATATGAAATGGTACGATCAACCCACCAATCGAAGTCCCTGAAAAGTCATAGGGTTCGGATTATAGGATTAGGATACAACAATCATACATACGATCTTATCTGCTCTTATAAGATCATACGTACAAAATGTTATGATTCCAAAAGATCGTACGTATAATTGCGTACTAACATATGCGCCCTTATGTACAAATAACATATGATTCTTACTGTTTTTATCTAGCTAGTGTGCAGGCTTCTTTCCGTATTAGTATTCTCTCAATCTTTTAATTGTAGTGAAGAAAATTCTTTTTCTCTAAGAAATTCTAAAACTGGAAAGTACACACATCGCACTTTGTTTGGTGAAATACTATCCTACTCCTGTAGAGCGTTTTACAAAAAAACAACAACCAGAGTGGCCTTCTATTCCGGTAAGGGATTTAGATAGATGAATATAGTAAATCAGGTAAGGTAGAATAAGGGAAGAGGAAGTTCTAAATTCTCATGTCTACTATATTAGTCTAGTATCAGGAAGGAATGTAAATTGTTCTTTCTCCCATAAATTTTGTTCTTTCATGAACAATAAGCGTAAAAAAGGCGCTTAGTGAGCTTTTAAATCGACCTGAAGTTTATGAAGCTACGAGGTATTTTCTAATATTAGACACTGAAAAACGCACATAAACAAGAATCTAAGCTTTTTCAAGCATTCCAAGTGGGACCAAAAGCAGAGAAATAATCTCAAAAGTACGATTTTCACTCAAATCATATCAAATTGTATGACACAAACAGGTACGATTTTTACTACTTTTGTACGGGTCATTCATACTGCACGGTTTCGTACAAAATACCTTACCGTCGTAAAACCAGATCCTTACCAAAATCATAGTACAGGAACTCATACAATCCTACAGTACAAATCACATCACCTCTTACTTCTCATACGACCTTGCACGATCTTAGTACGATTCTACGATCCGAGTATCGCAAACATGAAGGTATACCAAAATAAAAATGCGTATCGTCTTAACGATTAAGTTACTCAAGCTAGATTTTTCGCCAGTAATGTTAATAGTGACATCCGAAGAGGTTAATAATATAGGTCTTGTTATGACAGTCCGAATGACAAATTCAATCAAAACACGCCGCCGTTCAAGCAAAAAAGGAATCAAGAAAATATTTTTTCGAAATAGCCGACTTTTGCTGAAATGTAAACTGTTCGAAAACCAGAGCTTATACATATTTTTTAACTAGTACAATAGAAAGTTTTTAATTTTATTAGTTTATCATTATACGTATTTAAGTATTCCTAATTAACAAATATTTTTTAACTGCCAGTCTCGATGTATCGATCTGTTACTTTTCTTCAGACATTTATCTGCTTTTTACACGTTGAAGAAACGAAGATATTAATTGTTTGTACAAGACGCAGGCGAAATGAGATGAACTGAGAAATAACTGGTGGTTTTAAGATAATTTTTCTAAATGCCATTACAATGCAGAAAATTTCCAGTCTTTTCAAAAGTAGATACTTTGTAAAACAAATTATTAGGCACAAACGAAGTTGTGCGGCAAAATATCAAATATCAACGATTCATAGAGTTTTTCAAAGGCTATACGCCAACAACATTTTTACTGACAGTTATTCTTCGAATGTCAATCAGAAGAGACGGAAAAAATCAGTAGGTTATAATAAATCTTCTCCGATATTAGATTACCGTCTCTTATCAACAGGCCACTGGCAATTATACAAGATGAAAACTAAACAGAAGCTCATGGTCTTTTATTTCGCATAAAATAATTTGCGCTCATCTTGTTTTATGATACATTTAACGAAGTTTTATAGAGACCTAACTGGTTCATGTTTTGAAAAGCAATAAACATTTCACAATATACTGAAACAGCTATATACACGAAGCTAATGATGTTACGAGTCGATTTATCCACAAATATCGGATGGTAAATAAAACGATATTGCTGAAAATGATTATGATGACCATGAAGAAGAAGAAATTAAAAAACATGATAGAGACAAATATAATATAGGTTCAGATTGTTGTTTATAACTATGATTTCAATGATTTGATTTCAATGATTGTCTATAATAAATTTTATACGAAGATGCACCCACCTAATAAAAATCGTTTACCTTCATTACTGACCAAAAGTGATATTCAGGACTCATCTTTTCACATCTATTTCCCGATGGAAAACCTTCGTTTGATGAACAGGATGTAACAAAACTGAGTTTTGCACAATATTGTGATAGGCGATGTATAAAGTTATAACGCACTGTCTGTACCAGATCCAAGTTACATGTTTAACCTACATATTCGATTTTAATTTAACACTTTCGTCTCGTTCTGTTTTAGCTAATTCATCTTTCTTCATCTCAATTAATTTGTCCTTGGCAGCCTCAGTTATTTCAGAAATAGCATCCGCTTCAAAGCGCAGTAGATCTTTTTTTGTTCCAGTGATAATAATATTCATCCATCGCTCATTATATGTCCCATTTTCTGCTCAAAACCAAAAACTAAATTAATGATTGGATACGTACAATAAATGAAAAACAAGTTTAGTAAGGGAGAAGGCACTCCTTATGCCTCCAGTTCCATCAGTACCCAACACTATCAAATGTCTTGCGAAAATCTAGAAAAACAGCCAATACCTACTTGATGTCGTCAAATGCTAATAAGATTTCATGAAAACTGGCAACTGAGTGATATACTGTTGAATCATCCCATTGAAAATCGACTAATTCCTGCTAATGAGTTCAAAGCAAGACGAATACTCATCAAAGGACGGGATCGATAAGAGGCAAAATCGACCTCTTCTCAGATCAAGCTCATATTCACAAGTCCGATGTAGTTTTTCTCCGTGATTAAAACTAGCACTTCAAAAAACCTATTTTCACCCTCTCTGGAAAAAATTCCTAATCCAAACTTTTCTCCCTTAGTTGAACTTTATTTAGGGTATTTTCCCCATTTCTTCTCTTTGCCCAAAGAAAACCTCAACTACTGTATATCATTCGATACAGAACTTCACGAGCAACAAAATGATATATATATTACTGAGAACAAATGGGGTCTTGGTGTCATAACAGCAGAAATACTAACCCAGACCTCCACAAATCGACAGGTCAACAGCGTTCATCGTTTACATTGTCCAGCCAGTTTATCGTTAACCACGCCACTTTATACATCATTCGATAGAGAATTTCAGGGGCTACAAAATGATATATATAATATTGAGAAAAAATGGGGTCTGGGTGTCCTAACACTAGAAATACTACTAGAGAGGGAGGTTTTCGGCATCGATGGATAGGCTAAGTCCATATAAAACCGTTTACCATTTACATCGGCCGTTCACGTCAGTAACGAACCTACCTCATATTCTAGAGCTTAGCAAGCTGAATCGAATGGGGAAAACCGCAAGTCTTCAGACTTGTTAGAAAAGAAGGTATAGCCGTTTTACCGTCGTAGCAGAAAAATGCATTTTCATCATTTTCCGGCGGATTTGGCCTAACTTGTAGAACGTGTGCCGACTACATTGCCTAACACAGAACCTTGAAGTTGGTGTCAAATGAAAGAGCGCATCTAGTTCTATATATTTAGACGGGGAAAAGTTATGCTACATGTCGCAGTTTTGAGGCAGAGATTTTCGAAAAATCGGGTTTTCTAGAAAACGATGTTGTATCACACAGTGGCATTGAAAATATGATACAGTTCGAAAACGGCATTAACGCGACTGAATTTATATTCATAGTGTTAAAAAGCCTGTAACTCGGTTGTCCACGATCGCAGTAACTTAGCCAGCATCTTATGTTATGGAGAATTGAAGGGGCTATTTGATGATATGGTTGAAAGGCTTCTGAAAGAAACTTTAAGTTCACTAGATTTTCTAGAAAACCGGGTTTTCAAAAATCTCTATCTCAAGACATGTTGAAATGTTGAAAAACGTCTACATCAGACTTGTGAATATGAGCTTGATCAGAGAGGGGGCTGATTTTGCCTCTTATCGACCCCCGTCCTTCACAATGTATGATGTGTCTGAGAATTTTTGCAAGGATTGGTAAAAGAGTAATGGGGCGTATTATGAGAATCACCAGACTTAAAAATACGCGTAGTACAACATCACTTTCAAGCTTTGAGAATATATTCATGTATCAATAATCCATTGAATAAATAGGGTATAACTGAAGTAACAATGGGCTCCAACCCTTGCAATATACTTCCAGAAATATGAGAATCATTAGCTTTACTATAATTAATCATTTTATCATGAATATCTTGTTAATTATAAGCTTATATCAATAAACAAAATAGCTGCAGAAAAAAATCATTTTTCATGTCACTCATTACGAATGGGTCAAAGATGGCCCATGGTGTCCTGAAGGATGATCCCACATTTCTAATCAAGAAATCTGTAAATGCTTTCCTGCAAATAGATGGCGCCTATAGCAGTATATATCAACCGCCCAAAAATAATCAATCTGTGCAA